GTATTTAATTTATCTTATATTTAAAACTTAAAATTAGAAGTATAATTAATCAATATTTTAAATTTTAAAAAATTAATTAATTTTAGTTAGGTTGACCCAACCCGACCCTAACCTAACCCAGTCGGATTCGAATAATTTCGGTCTAGGTCATACTAAATTCTAGATTGATACCTTAGACCCATGACCCTACCCATAACAGGTGAGTTGAGTTAGATTTTCAGATTAGATCCAATTTTACCAAATCTAAAAGTGGGAGATGCATACCTTCTCAGTGCCATAATACTGAACAATGTTTTCATGTTCAAACTGACTTAATATATCAATCTCCTGAAAAGAAAATTTAAAAAACAATAAATCAGCACAAAAAAATGTATATTTACAAATATATCAGCAATAGAAGATTTGTCTGAGAACATAACACACAACTACTCACCTGCTCAAGTTGGGCAATCCTCTTCTTTCCTCGACTTCCTTGATCAAGCAATGAAACTTCTTTTACGGCAAAAAAGGTTCCATCCCTGTAGAAAAATAAGTTAATTAATAACAAAAGAAAAAAAAAAAAAAGTGTTCCACACATATCATCCCAAATTATGTAACAATGGTGCTGTGGACTTAAGTGGAAAATTTGAAATACTTTCATGTATCAATAACAAAGTTTACATTGACAACTAAACATGATCATATATCAATAACAACAAAATCATGTAAAGTAAATAACTAATTAATAGATAAAATACTGATTGTTTCATGGAAATTAAACTGAAATACCTACCATATATGGAAAAAAAGAGTTTAACTTTACGGAACAGGCAGCATATCAGTACTTACCCAGAAATCCCTTCGTACACGGATCCGAAGGACCCACAGCCCAGGGGCTTAACTTTCTCCCAACAAGTAATATTCCTTTTGAACCTGCCACTGGGAGCAATCACGCCGTTCCCATCAGGCCAGGAGAAGACTCCGTGTCCCTTTGGACCTGAAATCATGACGTTCTCCCAATCTCCGATGATTCGGGGCCCGCAGCCGTTCCCGTCGGAAAAATGCAGCACCCCACGACTTGAAATCCCGCCGTTCTCCCACTCTCCGACGCATAGGACCTTGCAGCCGTTCCCGTCGGTCCTATACAGTGAGCCACGACCTGAAATCCCGCCGTTCTCCCACTCTCCGACGCATAGGACCTTGCCGCCGTCCCCGTCGGTCCTATACAGTGAGCCACGACCTGAAATCCCGCCGTTCTCCCACTCTCCGAGGCATCGGACCTTGCAGCCGTTCCCGTCGGCCCAATTCAGCGTCCCACGACCTGAAATCCCGCCGTTCTCCCACTCTCCGATGCATAGGACCTTGCAGCCGTTCCCGTCGGCCCTACGCAGCGCGCCACGACCTGAAATCTTGCCGTTCTCCCGCTCTCCGACGCATAGGACCTTGCAGCTGTTCTCGTCGGCCCTATACAGCACGCCACGACCTGAAATCCCGCCGTCCTCCCACTCTCCTACGCATGGGACCTTCCAGCCGTTCCCGTCGGCCCAATTCAGTTTGCCACGACCTGAAAGCCCGCCGTTCTCCCAGTTTCCTACGCACGCGACCTTGCAGCCGTTTCCGTCGGCTCTAGACAGCTCGCCACGACCTGAAATGAAGCCGTTCTCCCACTCTCCGACGCATAGGACATTGCAGCCGTTCCCGTCGGCCCTATACAGCGAGCCACTACCTGAAATCCCGCCGTTCTTCCACTCTAGGAAGCAGTTATTTCCATTAAACCAACTAACATAGATGCTTTGAGTGGGAACTCCGCTCTCGATGTCCATTATGTTCTTGATTCTCACCTCGTTGATGCTCATGTTGTCGATGCTTATTTCGTTCTTGATGCTCCAGTTGGTGACGCTCATTTTGGTCTTGATGCTCATTTTGTTCTCAATAACTTTTTTTTTTTTTTTTACACCAATGATTTAACCATTGAACGTGTAATTTGTATTCTAACGTGTCATGGTCCAGTGATAATTTATTGTCTTAAAAAACAGCACGTGATTTGCATTCTTTAAGTTTTGGGTTCAATACCCTTCGTTAACACTTTAATATATTAATCTTTAATTATTGTTTTTTATCAAAAAAAAAATTGAATGTGTAATTTATAATTGATTTGTCTTCATTTTTCCTCTTTCTGATAATTGGACATGGAGAAAATATGTAAATAAAATTGTTAATTTTT